TTTTGTTTTTATTTATTTGATGATAGGGTCTCTCCCAGAATTGCCCAAGTAAGACCTCAATTTGTGATCCTCCTGCCTCTTCCTCTGTAAAAAGTGCCAGAATTAGAAGTGTGTACCACCATACTCCTATAAAAGAATTACAGTACCTTTCAGTGAAATAGTAAACATATAGGCCATGTGTGGTGGTGCATGCCTGTAATCCTAGTGCATGGGAAGCTGAGGGAGGAGGACTGCTATGAGTTCCAGGCCAGCCCGGGCTATATAGTGAGTTCCAGGCCAGCCCCTGGCTCAAAAATCATCATTGTCATCATGTAGGACAATGCACAGCTTACAGAAGATAAACAATGTTTTTTCTTTCTTTTCTACAGACTCCCTAATATCCTAAAAAGCAACCACAAGCAGTACAATTTCCTTGTAACTACTCCATTTTTAGCAGCATTTTCCTTTGTATAATTTTAAAGAGTTGGTGCTTTAGCAAACATAAAACAATTTTTTAAAGGGTAAAGACAATGAGGTGTCTTATGTATCTCTTCATTTAAATTTCCTTCTTGTTCAAAAAAGCCAAACTTTTACCCAGAATGGTCCAGACCTCTCATATGTGTCTGTGTGTTTACATGAATCTAAATTCAGGTCAGAGGTTACTTCAGAGGGGAAAGGATCTGAGATTTGATTGCATCATTCAGGCCACACACCAACTCTGAAGTTCTTTTGGCAACTTGTTTACTTGCTGCCTGTCTGGGGGTGGGGGGCAGCTGGATTTAAAAGTTAACCGTTAAAATAATAGATATGATCTAATGTCTTAAATTTATCCCAACCAATGATAGCCCATTAAATACACCGCTCCAAACAAGCTTCACTGGAAAATAGTCTAATGTTACCAAATAAAACTGATGATACATACATATACTGTGACCCATGTTTTCCATTCCTATATATAATGGCTTTGAGAAACTTAGGTGTATACATGGCACAAGAATCTCCATAGCAGTGTTATTTGTAATAACCAAAACTGTTCATTACAAGACAGATTAATAAATTGTAACATATTCATTAGACTCTGTGAGGTGTTTTTTTGTTTTTTGGGGGTTTTTTTCTTTTGAGGATTGAACTCATGATCTTCACTCTGAGCTATATCCCCAGCCCTTTTTTATTTTTATGTTGAGACAACATCCCACTAAGTAGCTAAACGGCCTAGGCAGGACCCTAGCTTTCAGTCCGCACTCAGCTGTGTGCATTACGTTTGCACACAATAATGATTCTTAAAAATGTAACTTAGTCAAAAATATTAGTCATAAAAGAATATATGTATGATTTCATTTATATAAAGTACAAAACTAAGTTATATATTCTTAAGTACAAAACATGTGACATTTTAAAACAAAGGAAACAAATAGCACAAAATTCAAGAGGGAAATTACTTCTTAGTGGGCTGAGATCAGGAAAGGAAGGGATACATGAAGTACCAGTGTTCCCAAAGCAATGGTAATAATGAGGATGTATCACAGTTGCCTACCACTCTTCCTACAAATCCTCCTACGAAAACGAAGAAGGCAGAAATACCATTAGACCAATCTTCAATTTGGATTTTTTCTTTTTCCTCTGTGTCAGTTTCATTCCAGAGTCTCAACCCAATATTTTCTGATGATTATCTGTGACAGGAAGAAAAGGAAATCCCTGCTGGGCAGCACAGCTATGATGTCAGCCACTTCCTCTGAAACATGTACTGTTTATGTCCATTAGCATTACTTTCACCATTCATTCCCTCCTGGATTATTAGTGATAGTACGTAATTTTTTTAAAAGTATAGTTCTAAAAAAAAGTTCTGCTTTTTAGAACTATACTTTTAAAAAATTATACTCCAAATCAAAAAACTGTACTTTGACAGATTCTTGGGCATCATAGAAATTTTTCATTTGCTTGTTGATTGATAAGATCAAGTGTTCTTTTACATTATTAAAAGGGTGAGAATAGCTACCTTGAGCTGTCTCTCTAGTCACACACATTGCAGGTATTATCTTAGCATGGAGAATAAAAGAAGTTGATGCAGGTTTGAACATCCTCAGAAGTGACAGATCAACATTAGAGAACATAGTCATACTTAAGTCAGGAAACAAGGGTATTCAGATATAAAAACTTTATAAAGAAAATTGGCCATGGAGATAGCTTAATAAAATAAGTGCCTGCCTGGCAAGTGCAGGGTCCTGAGTTCAATCCCTAGTACCACAAAAAATAAATAAATAAGAAAATGCATTGGCCTTGGTTAGTTGTGATATACAATTTTGGCCTTACTTATCCCAGCTGTCAGCCACTCACTTGTTTGAGATGTGTGATATGTTGTCTCCTCCTAGGGGTAGCTGAAGTTCATGCAGCTTGGGAAGGGTGAAAACCCCACTGCAATCAGCTAATTGATTAAGCCTTGTCTTTCAGAAACAGCTTGACCTACTTCCTACTTGAGAATGCACCACTCTGCTGTGCAGGCCTGAGTCAGAGAGCCCCACCCAGGCAGACAGGGAGCTGAGAGCAGGTGCACAGTTCACAACAAACAGGGTCATATTAGTGCAAGCGCATGACTATGGAGCAGATCCCAGGAAAAGTGGTTTGAGGCTGAGTTTCCCATTCCATCCAGCAGTTAGGTAACTCTGCATCAGCTTGTAAGTCATAGAGATCTTATGTAGGATTAATAGCTGATGTAGTGGTATGGGAAGATGGTGGTCATTTTGAACTAGAAATCCCAATACCATCATACTTAGTGACCTGGTCACTAAGCAACCAACCATACTGCCAGCTTTCTCTTTTCAGCTGAGGCTTTCAAAATTGTGCTTCCTGTAGTGTATGGTTTTAAATGACTCTCACCCCCACCTCAAACCTTTATTCCATGAAATAACCAAAGGACAGATGTGAGTCAGGGTAGAGAGATGTCATCCTTTGTCTCACCTGCTTTTCCATGTATCTACTTAAGCATGATGATGCTTATCCAAAGATCCTTCTCAAAAATGGCCTGTCCTGTATGCTCATCCCCTTTATTATATTTCAGCGCATTTTCGAATTAACTAC